GATTCGAAACGCATTACCTGCAACTAGCATTCTCGCGTACACGCTGCATTTGTTAGCGGTCGGATACTAGGTGGCAGTTATACCCGCACGTGACAAGCACGTTTTACAAATTGGCTCGCACAGCCCAACACCGTCCATAAACGTCGTCCCCCGAATGTATATATATATATATATATGTATATATATATATATATATATATATATATATATGTATATATATATCCTCTTCTCCCTCTCTGCCTACGGTTTACCGGGCAGTTCTATTTGACGATATATATGTGTATATATATATATATAGAGAGAGAGAGAGAGAGGACCCTATAATTTTCTGCGTTTCGATTGTTCTTGTGACGTTTGGCCTTTGTCCATAGCAGCATCGATATTGTTGTCTGTCGTGGCACACAGACGGAATCTTGGTTGTGCATTTATAATTGTTGTTGCTGTTGACATTGTGGGATGCACGGTTCCGCCGCATGCAGTGGCAACCGCTCCATGTATGACGCAACTCAGGTTCACACCCCATGACATTGATGTCATGAGAATTGCCTCCTTCTGTATGAGAACAAACCATGATTTTCTTGTGCGAGTCCAACGTCTGCCGTTTTCCATGCAGGACATAATTGCCTTAACACCTGCGAACTGAAGATGCACGTCTGGTGTTGCTGCCTTGTCCACAACACGTATCAACGGGTGTGGTTCCGCGAATACACGTGTTAACCTCAAAATTGCATGACACCACCCTTTTGAGGCTTGACCGCCACCTCGCTTTACGTCCCAATAAAGATCGTATTCCTCACCCTCCTCATCACTGCTGATATCACTGCCACTCACTCCCAACTCCCATGACGTCGGGTTCTCTTGTTGCAGTCCTGTCTGTGCATTGCCCTTCTTGTCAATTCCATCCACCACATCATCTCCCTGCCACGCCACTTGTTCGTCTCGTTCGTTGATGTCAAGTGAAGGACGAGCGGGTGCTAATCTCCACTCTTTGAATGCGGTATGAGCAGTTAGTGCATCCGTAGCAGGAATCGTCAACGTCGTCTTCACTGCCGCTAGAGAACCCACGACACCTGTATTTTGCATTGTCGTATCTCTCATATGTGTCATTGCGGTGTCCTCTTCTGCAACAACCATTTGCCATCCTTGCATTATTTTCCTCCTCCTGTCCACGTCCGTCAATGCTGCGGTGAGCTCCTCCAATACTTCGAATATGTTCCCCTTACATACTGGAGTCCCCAAGACAAGATCGAGTGGGTGATCCTTTGCGCACTCAACATCGACAACCTCTTCTGCTGCTATTGCGTCCTCTGTCACGTCATGCAATGCCTCGTGAATGAGATTCTTATCATTGCCTCCACTTTTCATAAAGTCGACAATCTGGTCCATGAGGACATACTCGACACCGTCCACCACCATTGTTAACAGATCATGGTCGTCATTAGGATCTGTTTGAGGCAGAGTGTTTATCCTGCTCAGTGCCAATATCTCCGTTGCATTGGGCTTCAATTCGTCATCGCCTTCGGCCTTCAACATTTCAGCTTCCTTCGCCTGAGATCTGACAAACTTCTTGAACGCCGATCTGTCGTACAAACCGCCTCCCTCTCTTTTACTCATGTCGATGTCTCCGTCGTTGCACATTCATTCCACAACTCGGTGAAGGGTGTACGCAGAGCAAGATGCCATCGTGTGGTCAGCATGCACGCATGCATTTTGGTGTAACCGCAGCAGCAACTGATGCGCTCTCATCGACTTGTCTCTGTTTGCCGCTATTGACCTCTGAATGTCCAACGTTGTCGGGGCAGAAACCCTGACAAGGGTGTCTGCCCGTGTTTTTCAACGTCGGACGTTGTCTGACCTTTTCGCTAAATTGGAGGACTTGATGAGATTGACATTGCCAAAGTTTATTCAGACCGGCGCTATAACTGAGAGACTTAAACTTTTTTTGAACCTGACATCGTCGACGCAAGACGATATCGACATCCGTGCGGGATAACGGGAGTCGGCACTGTCGTCCGTGGGTTTCGATGAGACCGCAGTAGTGTGCAGTCGTGAGAAAATTAAAGTTAAAGCCTAGGCTACCGACGATGAGGTCGCGCGGCTGTTAAGCCGCGCGATTCAGGGCCTATACGGGCCAAAAAGGGGTCGCCGCGGCAAGATGGACCGCGGCGTGAAGGAATGGCTTAGGGTCCATACGGCTTTTGCGCCGAGGACCCGGGGGCGAAGGCGTCGAGGCCGGCTGAGTAGGGCAGCAATTAAAGTTGTCGGCCGCGGACCCCGCCCGCCAGCCACGGCAGCAAGCTGGCTTCGCAAAAGCAGCCTGCTAGGCGCTAGGAAGGGGCCTGCTGGGCATTGGAAGCCCTTCATATAGAAGGGTTGCTCCTTTCTTGATGTGAAAAGGAGCTAGCCCAGTAGGTACCGTCGCCAGATTACCACCCCACAGGCATGGGGATCGAACTTGACAAAGTGCACTACCGGGCTAGCTCCTTTTGGAGCAGCCCGCGACTAGACAAGGGGTGCGGCCGATTTCAGGCCATGCGATCTTCGAGATCGCGCGGCTGAAATCAGCCGCGCCGGGGTGAAATGGCCCCAGTGAAAGGATGACGCGCATAGGCCGAGAAATGGTCCGAAATTCTTCTCCTTTTTTCTTTTTGGAAAAAAAAAAAAAAAAAAAACCTTACCTGTCCCGTAGTTGGACGCGTAAGCGCCCAGATACGGGCTTCGTGGAGGTCACTTCACAAAGGTAAGTCGTAGTTCCGTTTTTTTTCTTTTTTTTTCTTTGTTTGTTTTTTCTTTTTCCTTGTGACATCGGGGCAAAACGACCCGACGGGAGGTGACCGTTGGGGAAGAAAAAAAAAGAAAAAAAAAACTAAACTAAAACTAAAACAAAGCGCCCTCTGGCGCAGGGAGAACTGACGGGGACTTAGTGTCCCCACGAAAAGTAACGGGTGCCCGTTTTTTCGGGCAGCCCTTTCAATGGGAAGTAGGGTTTTTCTTCCTTGTTTTTTTTCTTCTTCAGATTTTGTTTAGATTTTTGTTAGATTTTCTTTTTAGATTTTTTCTCTCTTCTTTTTCCTTTTTTTTTTTTTGGTCTAAAGATTCGTGAGCGTCCGTTCTTTCTGGACGAACGAGGCAAAAAGTCTGGCTGAGCCAGACTGTTTCGTCGGACTTCCACCGACTCATCAGGAGGCTGAGCCTCGACAGTTGGTCAGCCGACTGCATCAGCCGCATAAACGCGGCTACGTGCGGGACGCATCCTCTCTCAGGGAGAGAGAGGGGGGGACGTGACTGTGCCAGGACGTTTCGTCGGACCTTCACCGACTCATCAGGAGGTTGAACCCCGACAGTCTGCCCATGGGCAGCGAATATGCCGCCCTATGCGGCCAGGTTCCTCAGACAGAGAGAGAGAGAGAGAGAGAGAGAGAGAGAGAGAGAGAGAGAGAGAGAGACCAACTTACCTGAGCCCGTTGAGGTTAGGAACGGGCTGCAGCGTTTGCCTGCGCGCCCGAACCTGGCACTGAAAGCGTCCGGGTACGGGCGCGAGGCAAAGGGTGGAAGGAAAGCCCTGTTGAACTGGACTCTAGATCAACTCTCTAAAATGACTTGGGGGGGGGGGAAGTGCTCGTTCGTTTTTCAGACGACGAGTTGCCCCTGCCTTAGAGAAAAAAAAAACACAACAAAAAAAAAACAAAAAGGGGGGAAGAAGTTGGAAAAAGAAAAGGAAACGGTCGCGGATTTAGCCGCGGCCTCGGTCCAAATGCAAGTTTAGAACCATCTGGACTATGAATAGACAGCAGACTGTTGGTTACAACAGTCCGCTCGAAAATGGCTGAGTACAACCATTTCTGAGCTGCGTCTGGCCGCGGATGAAGGCCAGATGCATTACCAGGGTTCAGAACTTGGTTCCCCTAGGGGAACATCAAATTCCCTGGCCCTTTATCGCGATTTTGATCCAGGGCCAGACTCTATTCCGGGATTTGGCTGGGGGCAAAGCAGCTGCCCTCAGCCTTCAGCCAGCTATAAAAGCTAGCCTGCCACCCAGCAGCCTCACACTTGTGACAATGCTGCTGGGGCAATTTACTTGAGTAGATGCTGGCTGGTTGGCTGCTGGTGTGATGAGGCGAAGTGCTGGAGGTCTGCAGAAGCACTTGGAAGGAGGAGGAGGCAGCCATAGCTAGAGGCGGGGAGCTTCTTGCCCCACCTCTTGTGCTGTGCTGCAGGCTATGAGGGAGCCATAGCCGTAAGGCTGCTGCTGGATTGGGTCGTGCGGCAACGGATTTTCTTGAGTAGGAGGCCGCTTCGTTATACCCTTGGGCGGAAGCGCTGTCGAAATTGTGCGGAGGCAGCGCTGGTTTTCTTGGCGGCACGGCGGAAGCGCTGCCGAAATTATGCGGCGGCAACGCTGGGTTTCTTGGCGGTACGGCGGAAGTGCTGCCGAAATTGTGCGGCGGCAACGCTGGGTTTCTTGGCGGTACGGCGGAAGCNGTGCGGCGGCAACGCTGGGTTTCTTGGCGGTACGGCGGAAGCGCTGCCGGAATTGTGCGGCGGCAACGCTGGGTTTCTTGGCGGTACGGCGGAAGCGCTGGCGAAATTGTGCGGCAGCAACGCTGGGTTTCTTGGCGGTACGGCAGAAGCGCTGCCGAATTCTTGCGGCGACAGCACCGATTTTCTTGGCGGTACGGCGAGGGCGCTGCCGGATTTTGTGGCAACAGTATTTTGCACAGGACTGCGAGAAGGGGAGTTGGACGTTGCAGCAAGGACGGTACCGCCGAGGTGGAAGTGCATCTTGGAATAGAGAGGGTGTGGCGATCGTCTTGTTGAGGGCGTTGCCGCACGCGACACCTGTAAGAATTGTTAAGGCTGTTGTTATTTTTCTTGCGGCATACTGAGTAATCGGGGATTGGGTCCAGGACCACCAAGTATTGCGACAAGCAGGTGGTGACCTGACTTGGTATTTGGTGGGTTGAATTGACGCTGTTTTTGGTGGAAGGTGGGACGTTGAGGCTGTGAGATTTGAGAGAGGGAGCACTCTTTCCAAATGGCAAACTCGCTTCTGTGTTAGTGAGCGGCGCTTGAGTTAGTGGTAACACCTGAAGGAAGGTGTGGTTCATACTTGTGAGCGGCCATAACGGGAGTTGTGCGCCGATCTTCTCTTGAGAAAATATTTGGCTTTCTTGAGTGAGCCTTCAAAAAATTCACTCAAGGTCAGTGCGACTCAGTTCCTTTGCACACCCGCGTGAACCCACACCTTGCATGACCTTGCTTTGAATTCAGGGGAAAAGGTAGAGTAAGAGTGTGATGTCATGCGTGTGAAGAAAGGGTTGACTTGTGTAGGGGATGGATACATCTCTGGACTGTTTCTTTTCTTGATTGTGCAGGTAGGTGGGGAGATGCATGTGAGAAGGAAGCAACATTGGTTGCTCGAGAGAATAATGGGATGCTTACCTCTCTCCCACTCGACCTGAATACATCTGACAGAAAAGAGGAGAAACAAAAATAATAATGGAAGTGCGAACGGATGGGTGCCGAAAGAATGAAGGCCGTGGGAAAATTAAAAGAAAAGAAGATAAGGGAACACCTTAGTATTTTCCCTAGGATTTCCCTATACTATCCCGAACGACCACTATCCTTATATGCCCATCCAAAATATCTTACTTCTTTCTCTTCTCAATTCGTCTAAGTCGACCCTTAGCCGGGAAGGCATAGAGCAGTCGTTTGCACCTAGGGTCTAGGTTTCTTCTCTCTAGAAGGCATCTGAGGCGAGGGCTCGTTGCCTTAGGGGCCGGCCCTGTTATCGACTCGGAGCGGACCGCTTATGCGGGGGGATACCATGCTGTTGCGGTAGAGCCAGCCCAACTTCTGAGTCCTAAACAATGTGTTCGCGCGAGGGGGAGGGGTATTCCAGACCACTTCCTAGGGGGTAGGGTGTCTAGAAGCTGAGAGCAGTTGCCCCCTCGTGCTGTCAGGAAAAGGGGAGGCTGAACCTAGCATCCTGATAGGTGGCCATTTTAGGCGCCACCAACGCGTAGGAGGGCTGGTGCCACAAGAAGCCCAGACCGTGCTTCGACTAGTGTTAAAAGAAGTGCAAATAGGCACTACTTTCGCGGACGGACCGTGACACAAGAATCACGGCCCGAAAAGGGGAGTGGAGATTGAATATGAAAACGGGTATATCTAAATTTATTTTGACAGAGTTACCGCTTCGTCGTTCAGATGCTTGCGGAGACAGTGATCTTCCAATTGTTCAGCACACGTGAGGCGGCGGCTAATTGGTTAGCGGTGCCGACACGATCCCTCGCCGGCATGATACGGAAAGGGAGGTTGGTGTACAACCCACTTGAGGTTTACTCGGAACGAGATGTGCCGCGATTCTGGGACGGGAGCGTGAGGAAACCACCGTGGAGTTATGTTTTCTTGGTTAAACCAGGCCAGCATGTTGTACGATATGACTTTGCACCTCCGAATCCATCACGGGATTACGGAAACATGAACCTAGTTGTAGTCCACGAGGACTGTCCGGGAGTAGAGACCATTTCTGAGGCTAGAGGAATGTTCCTCTATATCGTACTCCATCTGAATGATTTGCAAGGTTCGTTCGGCGTCCTTCATCATGTGAGACGGGTGCGAGCGAATAGAATTAACACCATTCGCTCGGAACGTTTTGACATCACCGCGTTTTATGACGAGGCTTGTGAGATTTATGAGCGCCTCTTCTAACAGGTGGCTTCTTCGGTGTGCAGATGCCTAGCGAATGGCGGGACTTCACTCAGGTCAGATATCTACTGATTCGCGACAATACGGACGAGGAGCTGATCCGGCGAGCGGAGCGATTATTGCTGGTTCGAGACGGAGCACCCACGCGGTGGATTGGTTTTATCGGCCTACTCAGCGATGGGCAGGGATTTCTTCCTAACTCGCGCGCGGATGTTCGCGCCAATGTGGCCCGACTTCCGGAAGAAGTTCATGGATATACCTTGTACTTCCATCGCGCGAGCAACCTCCAATGCCTCTCTCGGGTCATTGTGAGCGTCAGAATTACCCTATCCGGGGAGCGCTACGGCGTCATCCGGATTAAGGATACCACGATCACACACCTGTTTCGGATGCGTCAGCCGTTCCGCGCCATAGTCTGGAAGCTTGCCTCACGGATGACTTCTCTCTATAATACGCGGAAGGTTCGAGTCTCGCGAGGTGGACGCGTCTCCACCTTGACTTTTGACGACGAGGAGCTTACGCGACTCGACCGGATAGAGGCTGAGGCCCGTGAGGGCCGACAGGTTTATCCCGGCTAAGCGCACCCTCTCGAATCAGGTTTCACGGTGAGTTGTCCTTATAGTAGGGTCACGTCCATGTGACTCTACATGGGTAATAATAACAAATAAATAAATAAATTAAAAAAAAAAAAAACAAAAAAAAAAACAATCTTGTGTAGGTAGGCCAACCAGGTGAATAGTATCTGGATTACCCCGAAGATAGCACTATCATGGTTATGCATTGAGGGGTGATCGATCACTTAAAAATACACTGAACAAAGCGAAGGCCGAACACTTGAAAAGGTGTCGAGCGGAACAACGAGGGCGGGGTAACAGAAGACGAAACAGTCCCACGCCAAGTGACCTGGTTTTGGCAATGGCTACTTCGTCAAATAGAAAGAGTAACTATCACTTAGGAGGACAAAGCGACTAACAAAATTACATTCGCCCCTCCAAGTAGTTATACATGGTATGGAGATGCGATCGAACCGAGAGTTCAAACATCGACCAGGAGCCAGATCACTTGTGATCTGCATGATACCAGTAATATTTACTTGTAGAAGCTGTGCGCGACGGATTTTCCGTCCGTGGACGGCGGTATAATTGTCTCTTCGGTCATGTAGGCAGGAAATGATAATCTTGGCAGGTCATCTCATCAAGTCGAAATGTTGTTGATGAGTAGGGGATTATAAAGGGACTAGGATTATATGTTGGGTTTCACGTTTGGCTGAGGTCGTCCTAGTCGACCGACGCTCGTTCGTACCGAGGAGATCAGCGCCATCGAGAACAGACAATGTTCGGGTCCACTTAGCGTTAACCAAGCGTACCTATACTCCAGCGAGCGAGCAAACGCCCTCGGCTGACCTACCTCTGCAATTGCATGTAAGAGCTTTCGCATGTGGGTCAGTAGCTCGGTAGGGATACGCCCCTGAGGGTGGTGACAACCCCTCAGGAAAGGTAAGTTGTGCCCCGCGAAAACCTATCTTGTCGTAAGGGACCGCGGGATGTATAGCTGGCGCACCCGGTTAGAGCGGCGAAGGGACAATGCAACCACGTCCGTCTCGACGGTTCGCGGAATTATTTCTGCATCGTCCTAAGTTGTCTCTTGATTTTGTTTTGTTCTAACTCCTGCGTGACATAGCCGGGAGGGCCCTCGTTCACGCGAGGGCCGATGCGCTCAACAACGTGACGTTGAAGTACGCCGGTGCTCTTTCTCGTAACAGAACCAGTTCCTCCTCATTGTCATAGTGGATTCCCTCTGTTACGTATTTCATAACCTCTCTCCCAGCTCTCTCCACTTGTTCCGCTGTCATCGGTGTCATTTTTCAGTGTTTTTCTGTGTCCGTTTGTCAGTGCAACCACAACAGTCACATTCAGTCTAAAGATGTTTGG